AGTCGAGTTGTTCAAAACTTGAAATTAGCGTTGATAACTGGATCAGTTGTTGGTTGAGATATTGCAAAGGAAATATCTGCTGAAGCTTTTCGCCAGACACTAATCATAGCAGAGTCGTCTGCTACTCTTATTCTTATTTCTGGCAGTTATTTAGATTTAAACGTTAGTATTTCCGAAGAAATATATTACTAATGTAGGTTGCTCGAAGATTAAACAATCCTCCTTCGCCCCGCGCGTGGCCTAGGAATATGGGCTTAACTTGAGAAACCGTGGGTGTGTATAGGAATTATTTTTTGGCGGCAAAGGACAGGTTTATGTGTTTTAATAAAGGTGGATTCCAAAATATAGAGATGAAAGGTGGACAGACCATTTGCAATAATTTTAAACCTGCTATCCGCGTAGTTGTTAGCACAAGTCGGGTTCACTAGTAAATGCTGGCCAATCGCTGATTCACATTATGGTGGTGGAACTTTTGTTTTACAGGAGCGACATGGTAAATTCTTTTCATTCACACTCTTATTTCTTATGGATGTGGGTACATGTTGTTTAATTCTATCCTGCAATCTTTGTGATGTGCGACCTACGTACCGACATTCGTAGTGGTACGAGAATTCATAAATAACCATACTTTTCTGTATAGTAGGTATCGCATCTTTGTGTGTTGCAGGCAACAACCTACGTGTGGAACACGCACAGTAGGGGTTCACTGCAGGAAAACATTTAGTAATGGCCGTTTTCAATTGTTTTTCAAACTCGACTTTCAAGATCTACATGAGCCGATGTTTCCATTTATGAACGTTATATTTTAAGATCTGTGAAAGGACTCGGCTAACAGATGTTTCCGTATATCAAAGCTATATTTAAGACATCTTAATCTATAATATGAATATTATGTTACTTTCTTACTAACCAAATATTTCATTTAGAAATTGATAGACTAAAAAAGTGAGCTCCTTAAAAAACTTCTGGTCGAGTGCCAACATGGAAACTGTTGGAGAGGGAGGTGGGACACATGAACGTGATCCAAGTAAGACACGTAGTTGCACTCGTGAGGATATGATTGTCCTAAACTTTAAAAAAAAAACAACTAATTTTGATTGGTTTAACAAAAATAATAAGTACGACTAGTCGAACTATAAATCACGAACAGTAGATATGATTGGCCTAACTGTAAAATACCTTGATCTCAAAGAATGAAGCACGAGCGCCACCAGCCATTAAAAGTTTATTTTATTAATAAACTAAAATAAATACACCAGACAGGCCTAAAGTTCCCGCTGGAACTTTAGAGTTCCATTTATTTCATTATTATAAATTACACAGAGAAAAGGGTTGTTTGCTTAAAATGTTTTTTTGTTATTTTATAATTATTTTCTTATGTATTATTTTTATTCGTTCCCGTAAATTGGTTGTAAAAAATATATAAGCTTGTTTTTTTCTATTGTACTAAACTTGTCAACATTGCATTACAACATTATATCACTCACGTGCTGTAGGTGGCAGCACAGAAGCATAAGGGCAGGATTTTCTTCTGGAACCCTTCATATGTAACAGCCATTCGAAGATATTCCATGATGTATAAAATTGTGCGGTTAGGGCTGTTAACTCGCAATCTCAGAGTCGCGAGTTCACATCCCAGTCACCGAACGTGCTCGACCTTTCAGCCGCGGAGGTATTATAATGTTAAGATCAATTCAAATTTTCGTTGGCAAAAGAGTAGCACAAGAATTGGCAGAGGGTGGTGTTGATTAGTTGCCTTACTTCTAGTTTATAAATTCTAAATTAGGGACTCTAGATAGCTCTCGAGCAAATTTGCTCGGAGAACAAACAAACTATAGACTCAAACGGGTGTATTTACGTGTTTTACACACACCAAAAAAAAAAAAAAAAAA